GAGAGAGAGAGAGAGAGAGAGAGATAGATAGATAGATAGATAGCAATAGCAATAGCAATAGCAGTTAGACTTATATACCGCTTCATAGGGCTTTCAGCCCTCTCTAAGCAGTTTACAGAGTCAGCATATTGCCCCCAACAATCCGGGACCTCGGAAGGATGGAAGGCTGAGTCAACCTTGAGCCGGTGGGATTAGAACCGCTGAACTGCAGATAACAGTCAGCTGAAGTGGCCTGCAGTACTGCACCCTAACTACTGTGCCACCTCGGCTCTTGCAAGATGATTTTTTTTTCTTTCTGTTTAATTAAAACAATAAAAAAAAAATTCTCAAATAATAATAATAATAAGACCTCCCTGAAAATAAGGCCAAACGCTTATTTTGGGGGGGTCAAAAGAAAATAAGACCCTGTCCTTTTTTCAGGGAAAGACGGTAGGCCTGCCCTACTCTCAACCCCTCCATGAAATGAAGTCAGAATAAGATATGGGCATGTTTTTCACTGAATGTGGCAACCATGAGCTGCGGGGAAAATGGAGACAAATCAAGGAGCAAAGTAATTCTTGGGGTTTCTCTCTGCCCCAAAGTTTTATTTTAGCAAAGCCCAGAGATTTGGGATGGGAAAAAAGGAGGATAAACACCAGTGGTCCTTCCCTCTGTGGCTTGACAGTAGGTCAAGTTAGGAAATCACAAGTTTCATTAATATACTCTTTAACGGCACTGTGGTTTGCCAGGACTTCCTCAAGGATCCTGCGTTTGGTTAGGAAAATCAATAACAATTGACTGATTGACCTAACAGTTAGAACAATTAATCAGTGGAACAACTTGCATCTGGAAGTTGTGAGTGCCCTAACACTGGAAGTTTTTAAGAAGATGTTGGATAACCATTTGTGGTGTAGGGTTTCCTGCCTGAGCAGGGGGTGGGACTAGAAGACCTCCAAGGTTCCTTCCAACTCTGTTACTCTAGTCTAACAAAGGCCTGGATTCAAATTACTTGCAATCCTTTGTACCAGGTCATTGCAGGGAACAATTACAGTCAGTAACAGGCCACAATATTTTACAGCGTGACCACACACTGAGCATGTACTAATTGTGCTGGTTGTTTGAACAAGACTACCATGATGATAGCATAACCAAGCAGGCAAATGATGGATTTCTTACCCAGCGTTGATACAGGCAGAGCTAAGAGCAGCAGTAGTAAAAATCTGGATCCAATCATCTATGAAATAATTGTTGAAAAAAAGAGAGGAATTAGGAGAAAAATTCCCAACTGTGCAGCACAATCCTGTGGTTGTTGGATTGCACTGGATTTTCTCCTAGGAAGGGGGGACAGAATGTTAGCCCAGCAAAATCCTATCCATTGCCTTTTTTCCCCTCTTTCATTCATGTGCATTTACACCTAGTCAACTCAACTCTCCCAATGAAATAATTTGAAACCTGTATAGAAATATTGCTGGTGGTCAATTCAACATTTTCTGAATCCAATAGTCAAAAAAGTCCTAGAAATAAGGCAAGCCCCAGGGGAGCATTACTATTATTACTGGTTAATCTTTGGTGAGATTCACAGCCTTTGGGGCTGGTTGGTAGCTCAACAGCTCGAGTCCTAACCAAGAACCTAGGAACGGTTAAGGTAACATCGGAAGATATAAGCTGTTCCAAGTAGGTGGTTTTTTGTAGAATTAGAATAATGTTGTTGTTATTTAAATCACAAATCAGAGCAAGTTAAGCTACTTTGAGCTCAATGCAACCTTAACAAGAATCATGTTGTAGGACCTAGGAGAAACTATCTAGTTGAACTTGACTGCCAAGTAGGAATCTAACACCCAAGGCAANTGGTGCAGAATTAGAACACACTACTTTTGATTCTGGAATACAGAGAGCCCTCAACTTCCTTTTTTTCAGTGCCATTGCAACTTCAAATGGCCATTAAATGAATGGATCGTAAATTGAGGACTCTCTGTACTGATGTCGACGTGACCAAAATGTTTACCTTTTTTCACCTTGAGTCACAGTGCCATTTAAGAACACATGAATATCCAAATATTCTCCAAGGTACAGAGAAAGGCTGGTTCTTTTTCCATTGTGATAGTCACCTGAAATGAAACAAAAGGTTAGCAGCATTTTTTACTAACAATCATTGGCTTGCTCTCCTTTTTAACAATTATGGGTAAATTATGAGAAGCAATTGTTCTTATTCCTTTTATTTAGTATAATACCAGCTCTTCATTGTGCTTATTTCCCAGAAATTGTGCAAAATCTTCAAGGCCATCCAAATCAAAAGTTCATCCATTTTCTTTTTTAAAAAGGCTAGATTAGCTAAAATGTTTTTAAAAATGTCTAGCAGATGTTGGGAATATAACCAAAAAAATGGACACATTTTATCATATGTGGTGGAGCTATTTTAAAGCAAACAAAATCTGGGCAAAAATACACAGGTGGATAGAAAAGATGATAGGAAAACATGTAGATTTTAAACCTGGACTGTTTTTATTAAGCATAATATCGGAAAACGGGATAAGAAAAGTATGTATTTGATATTACATGTCTTAACAGCAGCGAGGATTATATTTGCACAATATTGGAAAAATGAAGACGAACAGATAATTAAGATACTAGATTGTGCAGAAATGGATAGACTTACATTGGAAATTAAAAAGAAAGAAGACACAGAATATTATCATACATGGAATCTATTGTATCTAAAACATGAAGTTATGAATATGAAGAACGGTTGCAGGAACTGGGCATGGCTAGTCTATTAAAGAGAAGGCCCAGGGGAGACATGATAGCAGTCTTCCAATATCTGAAGGGCTGCCACAAAGAAGAGGGAGTCAAGCTATTCTCCAAAATACCTAAGGCAGGACAAGAAGCAATGGGTGGAAACTAACGAAGGAAAGAAGCAACTTAGAACTAAGGAGAATATTTG